CTCTACACCTTGTTATCTCAGATCTGACTGCATCTGCAGTTCCTACTATCTCTGATACAGTCAGACCTGAATTCCTCAGCGATTTCTACTTTTGTTGCTGGTACTGTTTATTTATCGCTGACTCCAGCACTTGGACTAAGACATGATTCCAAAAATCCGAAGTTCAAGACTTTGGGCACCGTACTGAACTACTGAACAGTAGAAATTCAAAGCAGCCAAAAGAGAAACACTAGATTACTGATAGCAAAACCTGCAGATGCTGGAGTCACAGATAACAGTGCTAAACTGGGGGAAAACAGCAGGCCAGGCAGCAGAGAAGCAGGAAAGTTAACGCTTCCGAAACGTCAACATTCCTGCTCCTCGGCTGCCTGGCCTGCTGTGTTCCTCCAGCTCCACACTTAACACTAGATTAGTGTCACATTTGACTAATTTCTAACAAAGAGCCCCACCCTTCCCGATAGATTGTAGTTTCAACATCCTGCGAAATCGAACCGAAATTGATGTGGACTCGCACTGCCCGGAATGAAAAGCGCATTTTGTAAACGCTGCCCCATTCCGATGGGGAGACTTTGCCAAAACCCAGTGCCAACAGGGGCCCAGGCAGAGGGTCACAGTCACAGCGAATCATACACTTCCAACGAGAAGAGCCAAATGACCCAAGGCCCAGAGCCAGGACCGAGGGAAGTGCCCAGCACCCTCGCCCGGGTCTCTCTCTCCCCCGTCCTCCCGGATCTCAACAGTCCTTTCCCACCCAAAGCCTGTGAAAAGGCGCTTTCTCCTGATTGCCTTCTTATTGATTGATTGACTAGCCCCACGGCCGGAGTGACCGGAGCCCCCAGTGACGACCCCCTTCCTTGCACAGCCGCAGCTAGGCCACTGTGCCCGCTCGGAGACCGCCACAGCCTCACCTTGTCGAGTTCGAGCCGGCACACAGCACAGTACCTCTGGCCGCACAAGGCCCGCATCTTGGTGGAGCAGCGATAACACACCGGGTGGTCGCACTTGCCCACGGCGAAGATCTCCAGCTCCTGGCAGCACAGCACGCAGGTCCGGTCAGCCCCTGTCGGGCCTGACTCCCGCGCACTACTACCGGAGGCCATGCCGCTGGCGACGGCCGCCAAGCCTGAGCTGAACTCTACCTGCACACTGAAACCGAGCCACCGTGACGTCACACCAACATCCGCCGGAACCCACGTGCCCCCAGTCTATGACGCAATAGGCACGCGGGGAAGGAGGAACGTTTCAAATTTAAAGAAAACATCCGGTGGACGCGGAGAAGTGTCTAGGTGGGAAAGGGCGGAATCAGGGAACCGGGGGGGAAAGAGAGAAGGTCAGGCAGTAAGGGGATGGAGAGTGAGGGGGGGATGGAGAGTGAGGGGGGGAAGAGAGTGAGGGAGAGAGCGGTGTTGGAGGAGTGGAGTGTGGTCAGGTCATAGCGTCCTACAGCACGGAAACGAGCCCCTTTGCCCCAACGTGACCATGCCGACCCAGATGTCCATCCACGCTGCAGTTGGAGGAGGGGCGGGGAGCACTGAGGAGAGATAACAAGGTGTAGAGCTGGATGAACACAGCAGGCCACGCAGCATCAGAGGAGCAGGAAAGCTGACGCTTGGGGTCTGGACCCTTCTTCAGAAAATTTTCCGAAGAAGGGTCCAGACCCGAAAAATCAGCTTTCCTGCTCCTCTGATGCTGCCCTGCCTGCTGTCTTCATCCAGCTCCCTTGGGAGATGGATGTGTAAAGGGGTGCCAGCTCTGGAATACCTCCTCCTATCTCTCCCAGACCATGACCCTGCCATGGAACGTCAGGCTACCATGTGTACAATGGTCACTTACCTCTTTTCGACTGCCTCCAAGTTCATAGGCTCCTAACCCCACACAGCTCATTTGTACCTCCTTCCCAAAATCCATAAACAGGACTCCCTGAGCAGACCCATTGTTTCTGCCTGCTCCTGCCCATAGAACCCATCTCTTCCTACCTCAACTCAGTTTTTTCCTTCCTCTTATCCCGTCCCTTCCCACTTAGATCTGCAATTCTCTGACACTTTATGTCAATTTCAGAATATCCAGTTTATGGGTTCCAGCTGCCTCCTCTTTACCATGGACATGCCACCCCTTTACACATCCATTTCCCATCACGATGATCTCAGGGCTCTGCTTCTTCCTGGAGAAAAGGCCTGAACCATCCTCATCCTCCAACATCCTTGTTCGTCTGGCGAAGCTCATTTTCAATCTGAACAACTTCTCTTTTAATACATCTCACTTTCTTCAGGTCAAAGGGGTGGCCATGGTACCCGCATGGGTCCCAGTTATGCCTGTCTCTTTGTAGGGTCCATGGAACAATCCTTATTCCAGTCCTATTCTGTCCTCCAACCACAACACTTTCTCCAGTATATTGATGGTATCATCTATGCTGCTTCCCTTACTCTTTTGGAATTGGAAAAGTTTATCAATTTCGCTTCCAATTTCCACCCCACTCTCATCTTCACCTGGTCCATCTCTGACTTCCTCCATCCCTTCCTGGCCACCAATATGCACTACAAACCACCCGACTCCCATAGTCACCTTGATGATACACCCTCACATCCTACTTCCTGTAAAGATCCTATTCCATTCTCCCAGTTCCTCTATCTCCGTTGCATCTGTTTTGATGATGCCAACTTCGACAAGGGGGCTTCTGAATGTCCACCTTCTTCCTCAACTGAGGATTCCATAGCACCATAGCCCTCAGTCAGTTCCAACCCATCTCCTGCACTTCAGCCCTCACCCCCTGTCTTCCCTCCAACAGCAACAGTAGGGTCTCCCTTGTCCTCATTACCATCCCTCCAGTATCCACATCCAGAGGATCATTAGCCACCATTTCCACCACATCCAGTGGGATGCCACAACCAGACACATACTCCCCTGCCTTCCTTTGTCAGCCTTCCACAAGGGCAGTTCCCTCCAGGACACCCTGGTCCACTCCTAATGCAGCCCCACGGTGCCCTCCCCTGCAAGGTAAAACACCTACCTGTTTATTTCCTCCCTGCTCATTATCCAAGGGCCCAAACATGCCTTCCAGGTGAAGCAGCATTTTACCTGCACTTCACTCAATCTAGTGTATTGCATTTGCTGCTCACAATATGGTCTCTGTTTTGGGGAGTGTAGCCCAGGTGACCGCTTCACAGAACACCTACATACTGTCTGCAAAAGAGCTCCAGCGAAGCTCAATGCAAGCTTTTGCACCCACTTTTATGCTTGGGAACTCTACACCCTTCCGGATTCAATACCAATTTCAACAATTCTAGGGCTTGAGGCACCCTCTCCCATGTTCTTAATCCAACCCCAACATACCAGGCCTTGTTATCACATGGTCTGCTATTACACAATACCCATTGTTAGCTACTAATAGTCCCCATTAGCATCCTTTCATTCTCCTAGGCTGATTGTTGTTCACTCCCGTGTCTGTTCACATGTTGCTCTCTCTCTTTGGACTCTATCTTCACCTATCATTTACTCATTATCCCCTTCACACACCCTATCTTCTGCATTAAAAAAACTTTATCTGAGCTACAATCAGTTCTGAAGAAAGATCACTGGACCCGAAGCATTAACTCTGATTTCTGTCCAAAGATGCTGCCAGACCTGCTGAGCTTTTCCAGCAATTTCTGTTTCTGTTTTTGTTTCTGAGTTCCAGAATCTGCATTTCTTTCATTTATTTTTCAAAATCTGATAGTGATTGATTCAGACTCATGCACAGAATGAATCTGATTCAGGTTGAGATTACTTCACGATCCCATTGAAAATTGAGGTTGATTTAGATTCATATCCAGATTGAATTTCACTCAGATTGAAATTAGGTTCCCATTCAGAATATTTAAAATTGAAATAGCTTCATATTTAGAATGATTCAGGTTGAGATTGATTCAGATTCACTCTTAGAAAAACTCAGAATCAAATTGATGCAGATCTTCTGTGAGTACGATTCGGACATAAAATATAATCAATGCAGATACACATTCAGAATGATTCAGATTCAGTTTGATTTGGATTCATATTCAGAACAACACCGATTTATTCAGATTTACATTCAGAATCATTTAGATGCACATGAAATTAATTGTAATTAATATAATTAATAATTGTAATTCATTATCAAAATCATTCAGATTTGTATTTAAAATGATTGAAATTTACATCATGTGCAGTTCAGGTTTAGACTTGCATGTCAAACCATTCAAATTGGCTTATGATTCATTCAAATTCAAATTTAGCTATGTGGAGAGATTGTATAATCTTGGTTTCTTTTCATTTTAACGTCGGATGGTTGAAGACTTTTTCCCTGGGTAGGAATGTCAATTACTAGGGGATATAGGTTTAACGTAATAGGGGGTAAGTTTAAAGGAGATGTGTGAGGTAAGATTTTACACAGAGGGTGGTAAGTGCCTGGAACTGTCAGAGGAGCTGTTGAAGGCAGATATACTAGAAGCGTTTTGACAGATAGATGCATAAGTAGGGAACAGAGGAATATGGACTGCATAAAGGCAAAAGATTTTTAGTTTAGAAAGGTGTTATGTTTCAGCATTGTCTTGGTAAGCCGAAAGGCCTGTTCTCATGCTGTACTGATTTTTGTACATATTTGGAATGAGTCAGATTCAAAATGGTAAAGATTCAGATTAATTCAAAATCATATACATAATGATACACGCTGAGATTGAGTCAGATTTGCATTGGTTCAAATTCTGAGTAAGATTTATCCAGATTCAAAGTGATTTAGATTTAATTTCAGTTATGAGGAAGGGTCACCGGACCCGAAATGTTAACTCTGTTTTCTCCTTCACAGATGCTTCCAGACCTGCTAAGCTTTTCCAGCAACTTTGTTTTTTTACTGATTTACAGCATCCGCAGTTCTTTCGGTTTTGGTTTTTAATTTATGATTTGTTCTGATTCACATTCAGAATTTTTGTTGTTTAGAGTGATTCAAATTCTTTCAGTTTGTTAAGATTCAGACTGAGATTGTTTCAGGTTTGCATTTAAAATTATTTGGTTTCAGAGTGAGATTGATTTATATGCACATTCTGAATGATTCAGCATTATAGAAATAAAGTGGAAAGGGTGCAGAAAAGATTTACAGGGATGGAGCATTTGGGTTATAATGGCAGGATTTGAACCCAGATCTCAAGAATATTCCCTGGGTGTCTGGATTAATAGTCCATTGGTAACACCACTAGGCCATCACACTTCTGGTGTGTGGTTTGAATCTGTAGCCATATGATGTCTATTTTGTCTATTTTATTATGAAGGTTTCCGTCACGTCTTTGTCCATAAAATGCTGAGGATGTGTCTTCATTATCTGAACCACAAAATTAAAATTCTTCATATCTCCTTTGCTACACAAGTCAATCCACCTTGAACTTTTGTGGTCTGGTTTGCTCACTCTCCTCAAATGAGGACAATTTCTCCGCATTTGTCCTCAGCCAGAATCCTTGTCCCATTCTCTTGATTTTTGCCTCAGTTAAGAAGAGAGCAGCCAGGGTTTTTATTTCCTCAAAAGATCGACGTAACTCCAGACAGGGTCTTGGGAACCTTTTCAGCACCTCCTCAATTTCCTCCACACATTCCTTAAATTGCAAGGTGTGAGAGGGCACTATGATAGCATTATGAAAAAATGCATGATTTTATTAAACTGGAAAGGGTGCAATAAAGATTTACAGGGATGTTGTCAAAACCAAAGGGTCAGAGTTACAAGGAGTGGCTGGATAGGCTGGGACATTTTTGCCAGAGTGCCGGCGACTGACGGGTGACCTTATTGGTGTTTATAAAATCATGAGGGGCATAAATAAGGTGAGTAGTCAAGGTCTTTTCCCCAGCCGGGGGAGTCCAAAACTTAGAAGATATAGGTTTAAGGTAACAGGCGGAGATTTAAAAGGTGCCTGAGGGACAACCTTTTCACACAGATGGTGGTGCATGTATGGATTGAGCTGCCAGAGGAAGTGGTAGAAGTAGATATAATTAGAACATTTAAAGGATATTTGGATAGGTACATGGAAAGGAAAGTTTTAGAGGGATATGGGACAAACGGAAGCAAACGGGACAAGTTCAGTTTAGGAAATCTGGTCGGCATGGATGAGTTGGGCCAAAGGGCCTGTTTCTGTGCTGTATGACTAAATGAAAGGCTGGATAGTCTGGGACTTTTTTCACTGGAGTATTGCAGACTGAAGGATGACC